TATATATATTTATATATATATATATTTTTTTTTTTTTTTTTTTTAAAGCATTTTAATAAGAAGGGAAAGAGACTAATTAAAAGTTATAGGTCAGGTACCATGTGTCACATTGTCTTACATATATAACTTTACACTGATCCTTACAACCACCCCAGAGGAAGACATCAACTGTTGCAGTCACCATCGTTATTGTAGTCTATAGAAAAGGACCTGAGACTCAAAAAGGTGACGTTCCTGACGTTCTGTCAGTAGAACGGGGCAGAACTGATGTTNGACGTTCCTGACGTTCTGTCAGTAGAACGGGGCAGACGCAGGTCGGTCTGACCCCAGGCCACGTCTCTTTCTCTGCCCTGTGGGTGGGGGTGGGCAGAGAGCACCAAATGACCCCAGAAGCAGAGGAAAATGAGAACTAACCCAGCTGTTCGAGTTGGGGTCACTGTTGGCCTTGCAGAAAGTATGGTTAAGTGCAGGTGGGGAAGCCGGGTCGCCCCAGGAAGAGCAAGCAGAAGGAATTCGAACATAAACCGCCCTCCGAAGGTGTTTGGCAGTGAAGGAGCAGAGTGTGGGGTGTCAGGAAGCTCTGAGGGTCGGCGCCGAGTCTGTGAGAGCGCTCCAGGCCGGGGTCAGGTGGAGGAGGCAGGTTAGAATCATGGGACCACTTCATCCTGCCACCTCCACCCAAACGGTGATGGGACTGTGTCAGGCAGGGCACAGCAGCGCTGGGCAGAGAAAAGCAGGCCACCTCCCGAGGAGATGACAGAAAGCAGCTGCCGGATAACTAGGAGGCAATTCGCCCACATTGGGAAGTGGCTATGGAAACCCTCAACCCTCAGCGGCTACCCTGAGTTCTAGAATGTTCTAATTTTGCAACAAAATCTGCCTGACTTCCGGATGGCACCGCATTCACGTGTACCATAATAATGAAATATAAGTCACCTATCTGAATAGTTAATGCTGCTATGCGTGCTTTCTCCTAGACATGTCACCGATGGGCTCTTGAAAGGTACAGATGCAGCCCAGGCTGCTCAGTATGTCGCTATGGAAAAGGCCACTGCTGCAGAAGTCCTAAAGAACCAGGAGGAGGCGTCCCACGCCCCGGGCCAGCCCCTCCATGGCTCAGGAGTCCCTCGAGATGTGAAGTCGGAAGTGGTGCCCTTGACGGTTCACCACGCACAGAGCTCTCCTGTGGTCATCCAGCCCTCCCAGCTCTCCTCTGCCCCGCTGAACCCTGCCCAACACCCAGCCAGCCCCCAAGCTGTCACACAGGAAGTGACCTCAGCTCTGCAGTCATCACAGGCAACTCAGTCCCCACAGACGCCCGTGAATGGTTCCTCCATGCAGAGCTTGTTCATTGAAGAAATCCACAGTGTGAGCGCCAGGAACAGGGCCGTGTCTATTGAGGTAGAGTCCTACTTCCATTCTTTGTAAAGGAGTGTAACTCATGGTCCTTTCCCTCAAAGAATTTACAGTCTGGCTATAGAGATAATACATATATGTATCAGAGTTATGTTTTTATAAATTTGTGTATATATACATATATATATGTATATATATATGAAAGCTAGGTTTTTAAAACTAAGTGGGTTTCAATGGCCAGATTAAGAGGAAGGTCATCAGATTTCAGAGAAGTGTAAGACACCTAACCTAGAGGAAGGTGAGGCAGTGGTGTGATGGTAAGAGTTTAACAACCAGCTCTCCTGTGGGAAAAATCCCGATTGTGGCATTTGCCAAGTTCTGTGATGTAAAGACTCCCCCATCACCAATTTCGAGTTGAGACGTGACGCCACAGGGCATGCAGTTGGGAAGACTTGGGAGTCAGCTCTCCTGAGCCTAGGGGAGCCGACTCAAGCGCCCACTATGAATGCAGGCCTGGGGAGGGCTTGCCACTGACCTTCAAAAATAGGTAGAATCTGGGTAAGCAGAGAAGGGAGGCAAGGGCATTCTAGGATAGAAGTGCTGGAGCGAAGGCTGGGACCATGATAACCGTTTAACTCAAACAAGAAAGGAGATAAGACAGGCAGAATAGGCCAGAACATGATCTGAGGGAGCGTGGAAACCAGCCCAAGATATCTGAAGTTTACTGTGTAGGTGTCAGAGAAATGCTGTGCTTTAGCCAACGATAAAAATGGTATCTTCAGAAAAATTCACCTGGACACTATACAGAACTGATTGAGGTGTGGACCTAAGATTAAGGGAGATGGATGGGAAATTATTATAGGAGTCTCAGAATAGAAGACAGCGGCAGTCAAAATGAAAAGAGAAAGCTAGGCCTTAAGGTCCCACGATATAGAGAAAAAATACAAGCTATGTTTTTAAATATTCTTTTATCAAGAGCTGGCATCAGTGCTCAAATAATGCATTTTGCTTCCCTAGCACTCTCCTTCCTCTTTCCCACATTTTCGTGAAGCGTTGTTGTACCCCCAGCAACCTGGCTTCTCTTGCAAGTCAGCAGGGGATAGCCTGGGTTTCAAGAGGAGATGGCCTCTTGTAACTGCTAAGGCCACGGTCATGGCAACTGCATCTCTAAACACTAGGTGGCTGCTCTCTGCTCCAAAGTCCCAGGCTGTGCCTCTGATCTAAGTCAGCGTTTACAGAGTGCAGTGGCTGACAAGCTCCAGCGGATGTCTGTTGGATGGGGTAGAGAACTGAAAACACATTTCTTCCTGACAGTGAGTGGACTTGCCACTTGAAACATGCTCATATCTAAAGCATGTCAGTGGGACAGCTGTTATGAGAACCCACTGGGCCCAGTTTTGATTGTTATGGGTGTATGTTATGAGTCTTCTCTGACAATGCCCTGACCTGCAGGAAGGAGGCCTGGGCCTTTCTGCCAGCTATGCCAGGGACAAATGGGGTGAGCTCTAGTCACTCAATAAACACCACGGAGCCCCACCGCACTTGGCCCTCACAGACTCTGGGGGAGGCAGGGAACAGAGGAGGCAAAGTCCATGCCCTCAAGAAACTTACCTGCTTGTAGGGAGAGGCAGAGAACAAGCATGTGCCAGGTGATAATAAATGCTAGGAATTAAAAAATAAAGGATGGTGATGGTGATGGCCAGTATTTATATAGAAAGTATCTCAAGAAATTCCCTCACCTCACTGAGCTCACGGTGTTCACTTTTAATTTTAACATTGTGGGGTTCCACTCATCCTGATGCTAATTTCCATACTGCCCTCCTGGAATGATCCATGTGCCATCTCAGAATCATAGGCAAATGTTCCTTTAAAAATGCACAAATATTTTGAAATACATTTTATGTATTTCTCCCTATTGTAGAGCTTGATGGAGCTTACAGGTCATCTAAATAACCTCACTCCCCCCCCACCCCCCTTTTCTAAGTAAGAAAATATGGCCCAGTGGCCATAGAGCATGTCTTTGACAGAAGTGGAACCAAAACATGGGATTCTTTGCTCCTAGTGAGTGTTTTGTTTTTTGTTTCTGTTTGTTTGAACATCTCTACAATGAAAACTCAGTTTAGAAAACAAAAACTTAGTTGTGGATACTTACCTTGGAAAGCATATCTATTTCCCTTTTTATTTACTGTTGGTAGAAGTATGTGGTTAAGTACTCAGTCGGCATTTAATGAATGAATTTGATTTCTGAGCTTGCTTCTCCATGAATGAGTGTCATGAGCTTAAATGCAGCCTATTTAGCTATAAAAGATGCAGCAGACAGCACAAGGGTCAGGTATGTCTGATGTGCCAGGTGTCCCTAGGCTCAGAACCCAGAGCATTATTTTACCAACACTTTAACTGTGTTACACCTCCTCCTTCCCAACAGGAAATCTCTAAACAATTAATTAGCTTTTCCCTCTGGTTTTTAAAACTTCAACTGCTGTTTTCCTTCAGAAAGCAGAAAGGAAATGGGAAGAGAAAAGACAAAATCTGGACCACTATAATGGGAAAGAGTTTGAGAAGCTCCTAGAGGAAGCTCAGGCCAATATCATGAAGTCAATTCCAAACCTGGAGATGCCCCCAGCCTCTGGCCCACAGTCAAAGGGCGATGCTCCCATGGACAAGCTGGAACTTTCAGGTAAAGTAAGGACGGAGCTGTGTACCTGACTGCCCTCGGGTCAGTGTGGAGCCACCCACTTAAGCATGTGCTGGCCAAACTTGTGAAATTGAAAAATTGAGAGAACAAATCACTCAGGTGACCCTGGAGCCTCACCACTGCTTTCAAACTATAACCATAGTAGGAAACTGGTCTATATTAGGATACTAGAACAATGCCCGATAAGGAATATTTTAGATTTCCCAGCTTCTGCATTTCCTGTGAATTTATGACACTTCACAGCACCAGCTGGGAGAATATGAGGCCTGCATTTAAAGTAAGAGCTTTTCATATGCTGCGGAAAGAAAATGCCAGCTTTTATGAGCTCCCAGGGGGAGAGTAGGTTATAAGATGAAATCGGATTTTTTACATCAAAATTATTAAGTTGTATATTTAACCAACTAAACCTTGAAAGCTGAGCATCAATATGTCAGTAGTAATATAAAATAACTTTTTTAAAAACTCAGCCTAATAAGTCTCTACCCAATTACAAACCTTGTGCTTTATTTTGATATTAAAATTATATGACATCATGCTCTGGCTGGTGTAGCTCAGTTGGTTGGAGCATCATCCTGGGCACCAAAAGGTTGAAGGTTTGATCCCCAGTCAGGGCGAGTACGGGAGGCAACTGATCGATGTTTCTCTCTCATATCAATGTTTCCCTCCCTCTCTCTTTCTCTGTCTCCCTTCCTTTCTCTCTCTCTCAAAAAAATCAGTAAAAACATATCCTCAGGTAAGGGTTAAAAAAAATTATGTCACATCTTTGTTTACTTGTGGCCCAATGAGTCTCAGAGTCCCATCTAATGAGGCCGCGTCCAGCAACTAAAATTAATTTGAAAAGGAGTCTACGTCTTGACTCGCATGTCAAGGAACACGAATGTGGATACCATTTGTAACCACAGTGTAGCCGCTGTAATACTCTCCAGGCCTGCAATCCACAAAACTGCTGAAACTCCACTCACTGAAACTCTCCCCCTCAGTCTGTGCTAAGAGGTGTCTTTCACCCCCTGTCCTACCTGCCAGCTGTGTGAGGCCTGTCTAGGCCCCGGAGGGTCAGGCACCAAGACCCAGAGGA